GAATGCGATTCCGGGGAGTAGAGTCCTGCTTTCCGGATTCTAATGGATATTCATCCACACATTAGCCAGCCAGTATGGAGGGGTATAACTGTATGTATATAGGGTACACATCTTGTCAAGATCCAAAGGTCTAGCCAGGCGTTTCGGCGAGAGAGAGATATTGAGAACGCATGATGCTGTACCCCTATATGTCGGGTCTGTGTAACTTCCGATCTTGGGGAAATAGGGTACAAGGGTGGTAGGACAAGTACATACCAAGGACTGGTTTGCAGCGCGGACAGCATTATTGTGTCGACAGAGAGTTGAGGATGCAGAAAAATATACGCAGCGAATGGGAATACTGAATTCCTTTGCGACTTCGATCCAGTGGGATCTTGTTTCTGGGTCTGCGTTCGTATTGTCTAATAAAGAAGTTTGCGTCTCCTCCCGAAGGAGGAGGAATCAGATGGTTAGTTGTCTGAGTTTCATACTGGTGCTCATTGTGGCTGAGGCTTTTTGTTTTATTGTGGTTTAGGGATAGAAGACAAACGGCGGGGTTGTTGTAGAGAATTGAGAAACGAATGCAAGGAGTTCACATACCAACTACCACGGACCTTCTGGCCGCAAGGTGTTCCTTGGCGACTTTAATACATTTAGGGCGCTGGCCAGGTCTTGTTAGCATTCCTTTTTCTTGATCGTTTCTTGCTGCCCCTGCATGAGCGATGCTCCGCTCAGGGATCCTGTAACAATGCATTGACGACAAAACGTGTGGCGTGGTCGGATTGCCAACGTACCGTCTTCAAAATGTCCTGGTTCACCCGTTCATATCCCAATGGCTCGAGATAATCCCAGTAGAAAGTCGACTTGCCCGCGCCGGGACTGCCGCAGAAAATCACTAGTTCGAGAGCGCTTTGACGGGAGAAAGGGGGTGAAGCTGTCGGCGATATGTTATTTTCTTAAGCCGTAGGCAACATCGTAACAGATGCAGGCTAGACTCTGCACTTCGACTTACCATCATCGGTCTGGTCAGATTGCAAATATAGAGATGGGTCGAATGATTCCACGAGCGGCTCCGGCGCGGCGTTGAGAAAAAACTCCTCTGGTGTTTTAAATGGAACCCCGGCGTTGACAGCAAAACCACTGGAGAGTAACGTCAGATTAAGCTATGACCGCTGGTGAGGGTTGCCTACCGATCTACCTGGGAATGGTCATTTGGCCGTCCCGCGGCATCCCCAACATAAATCGATTTTGATAGATCCACGCCGTTCACGTCGAAATCATAGTCATCTAGGAACTCCTTCCACATCCCGATTCTTGGTTTTCGGTAACTATCGTCTAGCGTAGCTGCATAAACACTGAGAGGAATGTCTAGTTGTTTCATGACAGCAGAGGCCCTCTCTTTGAAGTTGGTGAGACTTTTTGAATCGGAACGTCCTCCTTTCATATCCTTCTGTAGGCTGATCTTCTTCTGATTCGATATGATGATGACATAGTAACTGATGAGCGAAATGTCAGTTCGCACCAGTTTAACCAAGGCGTCCCCAAGTAGTGAACACCACATAGCGATCGACTGAAGATCCCACATACCCATCTGCGCTCAACTCCTTAAGTCTAGAGGGAACCGTATCATGCCACCACTTCCAGTCTGAGGAGTTCTTGGGAAATGTGTTTCCAGAAGCCGTCGAGACTAACGTTGAGTCCTACGGCACGTCAGTCTCCCACATCGTCCATATGCTCCCGGCGAATGCATCCCCACCAAATCAAAGGCAGCAACCTTTGGCTTCTCTATAGTCTGTGTATGGTCTGATTTCTTCGCATATTTGCCGACAACGAGACTGTTGTTCACGATGCGCCAGGTGATTTGTTCGGGCTTCTTTTGAGATGTGGGGGTGAAGAATGATGACACCGATTGTTCTGTAGGATCAGTTAGTATAAAAAACATATATAAGAACGAATATAGCTCTGGTAAGGTATTCAAGCGTTTGCGTACTAGTCAGTGTGGATTCAATCTTTCTCTTTACCGGGGGTGGAGAGATAGCCCCAGTTGTAGACGCTGGCCGTTTGACCGAGCCGGCCATTCTGGTGAATTGCAATCTCGAAATAATTTTGGCGAGGTATCAAGGGCCAGGTTATGACGTTATGGTTGATGAAGAACATAAATGACAAGATACAAAGTTACTTCCATCACTAAACACGCGGGCAACGCGCGTTAGGTTCACGAAGTCACATGCTCCAGATTAGTAGATGGATCCCTTTCCCTATTTAGTTAACCACCTCTATATACCTACTTGTACTACGGCTATATCACGCAGTAACTCTCTCACTAGATAGCCCAAAATCCGCGATAATGCTGCTATTGGTATGGCAATGACATGGGGGTAAATCTCCGCATGTGGAATCGAGACTTTGTCTAACTGAAAGAACGATTTATCGAGACTGCGATCGCTAGTGTTGAATATACATACTCTAATACTATTCCGATATGATACTGTCACAGATATACTCATCATAACCTAAGGATGGAGCATATCATCACAGTCCACAGTGTAGAGCTAGCTTACACTTGTGTTGAGAGCTCGGTCCTAGTGTTTTGACCATTGGAATGCATGTATGCGTCGTATTTTCCGGTCCCAGCGTTGATCTTCACGGAAGACATACTTTGTACGAAGACAATGTGTATACTACTAGTGAATTTGTGAAGCGAGGCGTATAGCATTCTGCACATCCCCCTTCATACTCCGCCTGCAAGCGAATGGGTGCTGCCCTCCTGGGCAACACCAACACCGATCATTAAAATCATGCGAATCGTACCTTGGATGCGACATGATTTAACAAGTATGCAGCTTCCTAATGCAACATGGGGCGCCCGAAGGGCCAAGTCGGAATACACAGGGGTTTGTAATTTGTATTAAGGGATTTATCTACGGAAGCGCTGCCCGGGGTATATATTAAGCAAACCTAAGAATCAAAAAGGACGTCTATCCGATTACTTCGCTCGTGTGTCCAAGGAAAGTCGATCCGCCTGTTCCAGCCGGACGGCCGACTTCAGCTGTTCACGGAGTCCAAATAGATGCTGCGATGCGGTCTTCATCATCTCTTGGTTACCTCCATCCTGGACAGCAATAGAGGCCTGCAAGACATAGCTTCCGGTTTTTTCCAGCGGAGACATCTGCTGAAACGGAGGTAACTGTCGCCGCGGTTCATGTGATTCAGGGCTGTCTGCAGGATAATGCAGAACTCGATGTAGGTAGATGACGATATCATTCAAAATAAAGACATCCCCCTCTACCACGTACTCCGTGACAAAGCTGGCCGGGTAATCAGTAAACGTAATCAATCATACCACTGGCTGGATCCATAGTATACTGACCTATAACCCCAGGCGTTCATCGGGGTGGTGATATCACCCTTGGGCAAACTAGCGCTGGCCATCAGCCGGGTGGTAACGGCGGAGCGAGTCCCCGCCTCGGGGATATCTCTAAATTCCAGCTTCCAGGGTTGATTCTCATAATTGTAGGAACGGTGCTCAGATTTTCCACCAGAATCAGTTCCCGACATGGGCGCATCCGGATCACCAGATGACGACGCAGCGGAAGATTGGGCACCAAAGTCGGTCTCGGAAACAGGCCCGACCACTTGTGTATAGAACATGCCACCGTTCAGCATCTTATTCAGACGCTGCATTTCATTGCCTTGCAAGTCTTGACTGGCACCCACACGGGTATTGATCAGCCCTGGTTTCCGATAGGCCTTGAAGATCAGACGCCTCTCTAAGCGGTGACGGGGTTGCATGGCCGTCAACCCGGCCAGCTGTTGTAGCAGCTCATGGTGCTGGTGCGCGGGGACCGAGGCGAAGAGCAGTAGCTCATGCATAATCACAAGAGGGAAATCAACAGTCGAGACCACCGCCCGAATCGGAGTTAAAATCGTAGGTTTGGGAGAGCTCCGCCAGTGAGGTGGTCGGAGTGGTGAGCAGCCGAGAGGGTCAGAGCGGGCGAACCCGGAATTGGAATTGGCCCAAGCTTCCCACTTTTTCCGAGAGGGACACACAAATTCGTAATGGATATCTCCTTTTACCTTTTCTTTCCCATTCAGGTGAGAGGCAATACCAATCAATACGATCCCGTGTAATTTATGGTATCTCCGATCATGGAGGGTCAAAGTCTTGGTACCCTTTTGTTTGGGTATTCAAAGGGGAAAGGAATCCCGTGAGGAGAACAAAAGGACGTCAAGTTGGAGAAGACGAGAATGAAACCAAGAAACGGCTTATTTTAGTTAGGACTAGTTAACAGGGTAAATTGGTAGCTGCAAGGCTTTTTTTTTTTTTCTCGGGGTGCGGGGAACGAGTTCCGAGAGTCAGAGATAAATAATCGAGGAATGTGGTCTGATGAGGGGAAGAGGAGGCGCAAATGCATCGCTGATGGTGCAGGGTTCATGAGGAGTTGCATAAGCTTAGGCCACTGAGTACCTGTCAGGGACGCAAAAACGGCTTCACCGGGATGGCGGCTTGGGAAAAGATCGGACCCGAGAGGCAATAGTATTCTGGGGAAGGAAGGTTATCAATGACCGACGATTGCATGATTTGAGCCCATCGCCGAATGATCTTCTGTCATTGGAAAGTCATCCCACCGAGTTTAGTTTGGGGAAGGAAACCCTGAGTGGAACGCATTCTGTCGGCAATCGAGGTATGTATGGATGTACCACCTATGTACGTCGATAAGTAAGAACCGTACTCCGTACCCGTACTAGTAGGTACACGAGGGACGGCAGTGGTATATGGAGGGTGCCACCCATCATCGGTATTCCTCAGGTAACTCCGAGTAAATTACCATACGACCTACTAATTTCCTACAGTAATCCTTCTCCGGACCACCCACCGAGGAGCTTATCAATTGCACCCGCGCTCCAGTACGACGCTAATTCTGCCCTCGCTTCCGCTCCGACGCCGAACGCTCTCCCAAGCCTTTTTCTACTCCTCCTCCCTCCTTTGTCCTCCCACTTTCCTCTTCTCTTTTTCTCCTCACCCTCGCGTCCAGTCTTCCAGTCTTTCGACCACTGTATATAATACTCTCGTTGCATCTCCGAGACCCTCTCGAAGACAATCCCAGGAGACTGTCAAAATTCGATTAACCTCAAACGTCACAACTTTAATAATTACCTACCTTGGTCGCGTCGGGCAATAGCGGAACCCCCCAATTCTCGCGCAATCTCTTCGCCTCAACCAAAAATTCTTCCTTCTGAACAATTTTAATCTCTCTCTTACACCATATATTCAAAATGCACGCCACTGCTGCTCTCCGCTCCGCTGCCCGGACTCCTCTGATTCGCTTCCTTGGCCGTCGCTCTGTGCCTCGTATGTGCCTCCAATTCCCTTCCCGAACTGCGGGTAAAAAGAGCCATTGGATCCCAACTAACCCATTTCATCCAGAAGCTATTGACCACGCTCCTCGTCCTCACCCCGCCTCTCCTACAGGCGCCCTCCCTGACTCTTTCGCTGCGTACCGTGTTAAGGCCCAGCAGCACGGTCCTCTGAGCCGCGGCTCGTTCGTTGAGGGCTCGATCGGCCGTAGCTCGGGTTCCGCCTTGGGCCCCATTCAGCCCAAGCAGGGAGAATACTTCGACCGTGCTGAGCTTCCTCCTCGATTCCAGCGTCTTCCATGGAGCGAGGCTGAGATTGAAGCCGTCGAGACTGGTGGTGCCAGTCTCTTCGCTTAAGCCCTCATTTGCGTATATGAATGAGGGATGATTCAATGAAGACGATCACAACGATAAAAGTGAGATGATTGGGGTACTCGCTTGTTTGGAGGGTCACTGTTGAACGGAGACACGACGCAAGTAGCTCTCCGATGTCTTCGATGCGATGCGAAGAACATCCGGATAGCCCGTGGGGCTGGGTTATTCTCACGTCGTCGTAGACCCTAACATTATTAGTCGACAGGGGTTGGGAGCTTTGCACCTGATGGGTCCAGGAGAATTTTCATCGGGGAAGTCTCTGGCCGGCCCTTGCTGCTTTTCTGTGATATCATTTATTCGTACCATGGCGCTGGTGGTTGTTCTTCCTTAGCGGTTTTTTGTTTTATATGGGCGTGCTATATGGGGTGTTATCGTCTTGATGTCTGACTGCGGAATGTTCAGCTTTACAAACATTCGCGCATAGATGGTTTCATTTGTTCCTAAGACTTCGGTTCTTAATGGCTTCTTCGGTACCATACGGGGGCTCAAAGAGGACAAGGTGTTGGATGGCTCAATCAATCACAAATTCAATAAATCCAAATTTTCGAAATACCTTCCATTCAATAGACTATGAAAACAGACTAACAGCACGTTTGTTTTGTACGTCGGTGGTACGTTTGATTTAAGCATGAGGCCAAAAAAAAGATGACTAAGGAGCAACCACGTTTCCTAAATGACATACAAACCTCAACTACTCCATACCACGTCTAATAGCGTCGGTTTCTTGTCCTGGTATCTGGATATTCCGGTCAAAATCCGGGAGCAAGTGTTAAAACATGGCTTCAGATGCCAACGGCACTGTAACTTTTACTGAAGTGGACGAGGTCAATAACCCTACTGCTACCTACATCTACTCCGGAGCTGGGGATCAGTCGACGCATCTTCCTCATCATGATAAGAACGATAGCAAGTCTACAGGGCGACTGGATGTGATAGTATGTTTCTTTTTTTATTTCGAATTCCAGACATTTATCTAGACTTTGAATGTATGGGGGATACGAGAGAGCCTCAAGCTCAATGGATATTGACCCCCCTTTCATGAATACTGTCAGCACAATCAGCACTGAGGATCACCATATAACTATATGGCTCCATTGAATTTATTGGGATATCTCATTCTATGTCAACAAAAAATATTTTCTTGGCCACTCAATTGATAACGTATAGCACCCCTCCTCCAAGCCCCAGTCATGGTCTCTGCTCTCTCTCCAAAGCCTCCTGGTCGACGTGTTTCTCCCTGCTGGATATCCCCACAGCGTCAGTGATGATTATGTACCGTAGGTTATCTCGTGCCCTAATCATTTTCCGCTATGCGACTATAATATGAGCACCGCTGATACAGGTCGCAGGTATCAAATCTTTGTGAGTACTGCATCGTGTCTATACCATACATGATTGCCTCGTAGCCAGCAACGAGTCTGGATATGTCTTCTCTACGTTGTTTTGTCGCCAAAACAGGGATCATGAGCGTCACTAACTCATCAATACCCAAGGACTCGCTTCAAGCGTTCAGTAGTTCTATTGCTGGCCTCCTATCTTC